GTGACGAAATGAAACGTCTGTTTATATACAACACTCCAATAACATGTGCAAGTCAATCGCTATGTCAATGTACATTAACTGTATGCTGTTGGTTTGTGTGTATTGTTCAATTAAAAGCTATAAGTAGATAGGCTTTACAACTACTCCTCAGCCATAAATTATGTTGCTATTGCGTACTCTAGAGAAAAAAATAAAATTACATAATTTTCTTACATTCTTTGCTCTTATCAAACTGAACCAATTTTATCACATTAAAGATACATGATTAAAGATTACAGAATTAGTTCACAAGTTCTCGCTTGCATATGACCGATTTCATGTTAAATCGAACAGCAAATAAATGCATTTTTTTTGTTTTATCTAAATATTTAATTCGTATACATAATATTAAAATGTATATTTATGTTAAATTTCATTGCTATAATTCTAATGCTTTTAAAATATGAAATTTTAAAATTTACGCAAATTCCGAAATCATGATATCTTTAAAACCATTCGCAATTTTCAAACGACTTAAAATATAAAACTTAACTATTCATTTTAAAGCAGATTTATCATATTTTATACAAATGTATAAACTTTAAATTTTTAAGTTCGAATAATATTATCGTATGGATTTTAATTATATTCTTCTGACAAAAGTTTCAATAAATATATTTTTATTAATAAATAATCTTAACTCCTTTTTGTTTGATTAAATATTCTTTGATAACATTATATAGTTTGATAATACTAACAAAATTATTTTAAAGCAAACAAACAAAGTGCTTCTTTATTTTCGAATGCTGTAAGTCAAATTTTTTCAGTATGTCACGTTTCCAACATAATTGAGATTTAAAAGAGATATAAAAAATTGCGAAAATCCAAAAAATCTATAAAAAGTATTTTATTCACCTGATTCAAAATAATTAAAAAGATTTTTTTGTAAAAAGATTTTTTATTTACTAATGTAATAAATTATAAAGAGTATAAATGCAGCAAGACATTTTGTGTAAGAAGAAATACGATAATCAATAATCTTTTTTTTACGGATATATTTATTCTAAAAACGCATAATTCATAACGTCTAAACGCAGAAATTTCTTTGAACATTTTTTGTTATTACTGTTCATTTCGCAACGCAAGTCTATGGACAACATTACTGAACACTTTATTTACTTTCGATTGGAATATTCTCCTATATTTATTATGAATTTAAAAGTATACTCCAATCACAACGAAGTACTTATCAAGTGTAAAACTGGATGCATATAAGACTGATTTCATCATCTTTAATTATTTAATTGCGAAAATTCCAAAAAATCTATAAAAAGCATCTTATCTGATTCAAAATAATTAAAAAGGTTTTTTGTAAAAGGTTTTTTTATTTACTACTGTAATAAATTTACTACCGATTATTCCATTGGACCAATCACATTTCAAGCGCAAGTCAATTTCACAATGCAATTGGTCAATTCCAATAGATTAATCGATCAATTACGTTAAACCAGAAATAGTGGGATCGGCACATCCCCCCCACCTCTTTCCCCACCTGATTGGTTTTCAGTGCGTTCTAAAACACATTAAAAGAAAGTGCCTCAATCTTCTTTCCAGCATGGAAATTACACGTAATACGAACAATATTTTCGCAATTGCACAATCGCATCGAAACAAGTAAAAATATGATTTATCATAGAATGAGCGTTCTGTATCTGAAATTTTAGCTTTATCCAATTTACGCTCCGACATTTCTGAAATATCTTCTCAGCAATGGCCAATCGCGCGCGGGAAAGCGACGAAGAGAGTAGGTCATCGTGGTGGAGGAGGAAAAAGTCACGTGACCAATCGAAGCACAGGCGGAAGTTCGACGCTACATTCTCCATCCATGAGGCTCGCAAAGAAGACGTTTGGATTCCTTCTACGTTCCAAAATACGAGCAAGATGAGTTTGTAGTTCCACGAAAGAGCTTGCACACGCAAGTGTGCCGTCGCCCCTTAATTAATCATGCAGTAAGTAACAATTGGTTGTTTTATAGAATATGAAAGGGTAATTGTATCCGAGTCTCGCGTTTGTATTTCGAACTCCTTGGCCATCTTGTGAGTCATCGTCTCGGACGCGAGTCATCTCGTAATGAAATATGACCGTCTCTCATTAGTAGTGAGAGATTCTTTCATCCGATCATGAAATAGGATTAATAATATCGATGCTCGTGTTAAGTTATGCCGCATTGTTCCGCTTTGAACTCGCCGAAAGATCTTGCCAGATCATAGTCCCGCGTTGCGTCATGATGCGACATACACCAATACGTGATCGGTATTTTGATTCTCCAGTGTAATCAATGTATACACTTAGAAAAATCCGTCTTGCGTCAAGATAAACAGGAAATGATTGTCGGATAACGATTTCTGAAATCGGAAATTCGACATATATGCCACTGTTTACCATTTTCTGAATGTAAATCCAATTTGTAGAATACATGGAAAAAAATATAATAATTATTAAGATAAAGAAAAAAACGAAATTTACAGAAAATTTACGTTCCCTTTAAGAATGCTAGAATAAAAGTAGATAAGTAGAGAAAGTGTTTATTTTTGCTTTTCCTAGGTTTGTTATTAATATGGAAATTATTTATTTTTCAGTGCCAATATGGCGCTCGACGCGAGCTACGTCGCTAAGCCGACAAAAATTTCTTTTCATCATTCTTTAATATCCTTCGGTTGGATTCGCATCGATAATGTCATCCAATCTGGACCAGGAGATGTGGTCGTGGAAGTACGAGCCGGTGTCCCCCAGTGGGACACCACCGCTAGAGGTTGATGAGGATTTGTTTTTATTCAATGATCAGTCTGTAGATGTTTCTAACAATGCTGCGGAAATTGTTATGTATGATGATCAACCTTCCCGTGCACAAGTGGCAAAAAAGCTTTTAGAAGAATTGGACGAATGGATTAAAGAAGGTAAATGTTCCAATGTTTTTATATTCTATTTTTCACTTAAATCTGAATATTGTGTATGTATAAGTCAAAATAGCAATCATATCAGTGATAAACATTTATATCATAATATTAAATCATGAAATATTGTATTTCATGTCAAATGAAAAGATTGACCAAAGAAAAAATTTATTTTACAATTTTAATGTATTTTTAGTAATGTTCCATATATAAAGTTAGACACAGCACAGAAAATGAAATGTAAATAATGAAATTTAAATAGTAAGCAAATCATAATCAAGAATTTTAAAATGATAATTTTGTGTTTTCGATAATTCTGAACTTGTTATTAATCTAACAATATGTTTGTAATATTTGTTATTATAAAATATGATTATATACAAGAATGTATAATTTCAAAAGTTGTATAATATTATATTCACGGTTTGTAACTCTAGACAAATCTGTAACATTTCGGCTGATAAAAAATCTAATCACTCTAAATATTAATTCTCCCTTTTTTAGAACTAAATAAAGATAAATTTTGTATTATCTTACTCTATTATTTTGAAAAGGATTTTTTGAAAAATCTTCAAAATAGAAAAATAGATTTTTTTCGTGACAGTGACAAGAGTTTACTGACAAGAGATTAAATATGCCGATGAATGAAGCAAACTATTGCTTATCTGACATTTCCACTTTTTTCTTCTATTTTTGGAAAATCTATTTTTGGAACTAATCTTTGATAAAATATAAGTCTGATAGCAATGTTTTATTATCTTAAGCTCTTATTTGAAAACAGGAAAATTAGTAATGATAAATCAAAATATAAAATAGAAGTAATGATGTATATATAAAAAGATAGAAAAAGAGAAAAAAAAGAGAGCAAATTTAAATGTTGTGAATATTTTTTTCATTTGTAAAAAATATAATTAAAATCCAAGAATCCTTTACTAATTTAAAAATGCAAATTTTTAATCTTGAAGTCTGATTTTTGCTTGATATACAATATGATTTTATAAACAAGATTCATATAATTAAATGAATCACTGATATGACTCAAGTATGTCTGTTGTATTTCTTGGGTTAGACTTTAATTGTGATTATTATTAATAATGCTTTAGAGATTATTTTTTCAAATAAGAAAAAATTGTTTCAAGAAGTGATGTACAGTAATGTAAGATGTTACAGTAATGTAACATTTTTCCAATTTTTAATATTAAATATTTCCATAATCAAAAGTTACATGAAATTACTTTTCTTATAAACTTATCAGAATGTAATTAATTGCTTAGAGAGAAAATTTATTAAAATTAATTTCTCAAGAATATAATATTCAGTATATTAAAGATATTTACCCCAAATTTTGTTGCCAAGTTTCTGGAAGATTCCGTTGAAACGTGTTACTCAATAATGTTACTTATTCTGAAACATTATTGATGAGCCAGACTTATATTCTTGACAAAATTATTTTTTTTTCTTTGTTATCACATACAAACATTGATACAGATATTTATTGTATCGCGAGAAGTATAGCCCACTGACGAACGTCGATCAATTTACCGAAGTAGTTAATTATTTTTATTAAAGAATTGTGGGCAAATTTCTGAATTTTTTCTGAATATAAATATCAGTATGAGATAATTATTTATGTGATGTGGTTATATCATTGATCAATTTTAGGGTCACATTCCAAGATGAAGTATATCAGTATAATTTTTACATACGGAATAATTGCAGTGGGAAATTACTTCAGAAGAAAAAAAATAGCTTATATCTAAAGATCTTTATGTACAGAGATCCTCATGTTTATGTAATTATATATCACAATTTTCACATATCGCATCTGGGCGGTGAGAAATCACCGTGTTATTGTCAGCATATTAAACGACATTACAAGTACATGATTTAACAAAGAGACACGCTCGCCATCTCGTAAGTCTCGAATAGGAATATAATATTCTCGATACTCCAAAGGAGCAAGATACAAAAGACCTTATGCTTTCAAATGATACTTCGCAATCTCTACGCGTGCAGATATGATCGAGCGCAAGCTTTGGTAAAGGATACGAGACGCGCGTGATTGCGCATTAACTCAAAAATCGCCTATTTTTCACATTTTTTTTCTATATTGCGCAGAAAAAAAATGTGAAAACTGGTATTTTCGTTTGATATTTCCTATTCCTCTATCACTTTCATTCTTTCCCGCTGGTACCGTTCGCGGTATGTGTGGGCTCTTTTTCTCTATCTCGCTCTCCTTGTCGTTCCAACGCGCTTCTCTCCTTTTTTTCTGTAAAAGAGAGTGGGACAAACTGGTTAACCTCTACGCAAATGGCTTCGGTTTGTGGGGAGATAGGGGGGTAAGCGGCGGTGTCAGCGGCGCGATTGAAAGGAGGGAGTAGGGACGACAGAGGGGAAAGTCCAAAGATAAGCAGGAGTGGTTTTGCGACAGTATACAGACCACCGAAGTATAATTTGCACGATTGCCATTCGCTGAGCCGTCGCGCTACATCAGTATTTAATTATCCGTTGTCTACGGAGTTCGCAGCATCTCGTCTCTTGTCAGTGATCCCTCTCGTGACATCGCGATACCGCGCGTGCGACATTTCACGTATCTCGAACCGTCCTCGTGGACTCTCGTTGATTTACACAAAAACGCGTTTTCTGCCGCGGGATCCCTATCTGTGATCCGCGTGAATCGTTGGAAAATTCCGCGCATCTGTTTCACGAACCAAGTAAGAACGCAGTCTCGGATTCCTCGTGGTCCACGCACCACACGCCAAAGAAAGCGGCAGAGAAGCGGAGAGCGGTGTGTGCGCGCGCGCGCGCGCGCGACAAGTGGCTCCTGTGAAATCGCATCGGACGTTCGCCAAATAGAAAACACGTGGCTGCGCATCGGCGACCGCCGACTTTCTTACGTCGCGCTTTCAGGCTGATCTCGGGAGAATCTACAGGTTCTCGCGGTGCTCGTGGTCCATCGCGGCCATCAGCTACAACAGGATATCACGTGTGTTCGCCGCGTGGCCGCATTGTATATCGTCGTCTGGAGAAAACGCGGAATCAGCTATCGCGAAACATCTGCGCGGTAGAAGAGGAAAATTTCGGACTCGGTGACGACGTCGAAGTTACCGATTCGGCGAAGATCGATATTTGTGCATGGGCACAATTGCACACGCCAGTCTACCGTGAGGAGAGCGGTGGCACGTCGCCGATAATTCTACGAGACTGGCATCTCTAAAGTTGACCCGCGAAAACGATTCGGCGTCTCGATGGTGGAGTGTACTAATGTTATATAATAGCATGCAGTTCGCATATCGATACACGTGGAATCGAGAGATCATCGTCAACTCCCAGAAGCTTGTCAAAAGACGTTGAATATCGGCCCGATCCGTCACGATTGTACGGGGGAGGATCGCACTTTCTTCTACGTCCTCGTACGAGCTCCGGCACGCTACGTCGGCGCAGCTGAAGGAACGATCGCATCGGAATCACCGGCCCTTTCCAAACAGCTACGATATACAGTCCGAACCAATCTCTTTCTTCCTCCCGTCCCTTTTTCAAGGAAAACACCAAGCCACGCGCGATGGCTGCCTTATGCTACAGCGGTAGGTTTCCTTCTCCCCCTTCACGTTCCTTTCCCCCCACCCGTGCGGATTGCTCCAAGTCAACGCACAATACAGAATTTATTATCCGGACGGGCGGGGGGAACGCAGAAATATGTTATCTGGTCACATTGTTAATATAGACATAACGCTCTCTTAAGTCTGTGTTAGTTTTATGGTTACTATTACAGTTACTGCAAGGTACATTACATTCCTTAAAAGTATGCGAGAGAATTATGAATCGATTAAAAGACGCAACTCCAAAAGCCTGCTGCTTTCCTCGTGTAAAATTTCATTCCGCGAAAGTAGCTCGATCAGCGTTTGAAATGTTTAATGTTTAATGTTAATTAACTTTCTACTTCTAAATAGACAGTTTTTCAGAAAATTAATTCGTATAAGATTTATTTATTTTTAATATCTATTTATTTATTTATATCATATGATAGAATATGTTCACGAACTGTATTTCTCATTCAGGGTGTCTATCAGAAACCAAAAAAACTTTTTAAAACTGTGTCTTCTGAAGATTTCGCCTGTACTTTACTTGGTTGATAGTTTGATCAGCTGAAACGGCACGTCTGTTTTCTTCAACAAACAGACATTAAAAATATCTTCATCAAGAAGTTGTATATACTGCGTCCAAGATATACTCCGCATATACTTTCGTTTATGTAAAAAAATACCAGTAAAAAAATTGGTTGTATATTCTTTTGAAAATAAAATTCTTAAAACTCTTGAATAGTTCTAATTTTTTTCCATAATTGTATACATAGAAAATATTAAATATTAAAAGGTCCTGACAAATCTGAAAATTTTTCTGACAATTTGAACGTGAATCTGAAATTTTTTTCCAAAATTTGAGTAGACACCCTGATGTTTATCACAGAAAAGGTTCTCACACGCGTCACCTTCCGTTAATGCTCGATGATAGAAACTCCAGATCCGGAATGAAAATTAAAAGACTGCTCCAAATTATATTCAATAATATAAACAACAGGCGTCTACAAACATTGAGAAGATTCTCATATATTTACATAAGCACACTTCACGTAGAAATAATCTATCTTGATCTTATTTATTACATGTTTGTGATCTTAGCACATTATTAAGTCAATTAATTCGTTCATTACAAAATACTATTTCATAAAAATATATTAGAAATTATCGAGCAAAAATATACTGTATAAAAGGTACTGTATAAAAGTTGTATCTTTAAGATGTACTTGATGTCGATCCATTTTCCAAGAACTAGAAGAGTATAAAATATTATGATTATAAGAAATTTTATATATATATATATATATATATATATATATATA